CTTATCCCTATAAATACCATTTAAAAATGTGTATCCGGCTGGTTATGCATTTTAAAAACTTTTTTAATTTTTTGAAAATGTAAATCCAAACACTTGTAAATCTCAATTACCAAGTCTCAAACCATAAATTCTAAAGTTTTTATATTTGCATATTCAAAAACTTTCAAAATCTTCTAAATTTGAATATTCGAAAGTTTTTAGAAAATTTTCAGTATACAAATCCGAAAGTCACATAAATCTAAATTATAAACCATTTTTATTTGTCACGAGTTTATGAAAAAATATAGATTATAAATTATAAATCTATTTAATCATTTAAACATCATAAATAAGTTATCTTTATTTTAAAATGGATAGGTTGGAATTGCTGATTTCATTCCAAAATTGATAATTTTAAGTTTCGTTTGAAGTGAAAATAGAAGAAGAGAAAGAAAACATTAAAGAAATAAATTGGCTATATACACGCCTTAATTGATTCCTTTTATAAATTTTATATGAAAGATTAATTAAACAAACGCCTTAATCTTTTATAAATTTGCAAAAAATCAATTAAGGTATTTGATTATATAAAAAGATCAATTAAGGTGTTTGGTTACCAAACTCATTAATTGATCTTATTTTTAATTTATTAAAAAGGGACCACTTAAGGCATGCAAAGTATCAAACACCTTAATTGATAATTTTTTATATATTTTTTCTTATCAATTAAGACGTTACTGTTTTGAAAACTTTAATTGATGATATTTTATAAATAAAAATAATAATTAATTAAAATATTTATTTTATTTTATTGTTAAAAGCATGATTTATCGTTTGGGTATTTATTATTAATAAAACAAAAAAAAATTACTATCATATGTGTAAAAGAGATTATGATAATTATACAAAAATTAATATATGAATTTTTCCTAACCAAATGAGTAAATTTAAAAATAAAAATATCTTAAAAATGAAAGAAAACTCTAAATATTATATTTTCTCAATAATCACACTTTTTATCAAAATTCAAAAATTTACAAACTAAATATACTCTCAGGGATTTGGGGTATAAATGAGAGCTTAAACGTAGTAAAAGAATTGAAATTTTAGGGGTTTAAGTTGTAAAAAATAAAAATAAATTTAAAGAGTTTGAATTTAAGATGTTATTAAGCTTTAAGGATTAAAAAAGCCCTCGAAAAGAAATCATTTATCAATTAAATCTTTAATATTTTATTACAATCAATTAAATTTTTTATTTTAATTTTTGATCAATTAAACTCAAATAGGATGAAAAGTGGTTAAATGACCGTTAAACCAATTATTATCGTTAGAGATAATCCATGTGGATTTTAAATACACATGTGGTACGTGACGTGGAAAAAAAGTCCAACATGACAATCTCGTTAGAAAGGCTGGATACACATGGCAGCAAACTAATGGTTAGAAATTAAAAAAAAGATAAAACTAATTAAATGATAAAAATATACAACTTATTACACGTTCAAAATCTATAAATTCTAAAGCTTACGAACCTTTCTCGCTGCCATGCCCAAACGTTCACAACCCCAAAACTCTTGTCAATGAAACTTGAAATCTGCCAGCACTCACACACACAAACCTACACCAAGATCATTATTGCTATACTCTTATATTCCATAGTCGAGACCCCCCACCTCCCTTCCTACACCCCAACCAAAAAACACTAAAGCTCTAAACTTGACTAATTCTCCCTTCACCACCATCAAATGACCCACCCATTTTGCCTTGTTTAAACTGCCACCAAAAAAAAAAAAACTTTCATGTAACAGGCCATCATTGACCCAAAAAACCCACTACCAATTACACAAAAAAAAAAAAAAAAGTGAAAAGCAAAAACCTCATCCCTAACAAAGAGAAGCAGCGCCACATCAAGCAAACTAAAATAAAAAAGAAAGAAAAACAGTAGAGATGGGTGAAGTATTTCATTATTTTTTAGATTCCTTGAGTTATTGGGAAGTCTCTAAGAAGGTTTCAGTTTATAGGTGTAAGAGGGAAGAGAATGAGTCATTTTCTAGGTGTTGAACGGAGGTGGAAGAGCGATGACATAAAGAGGCATTCGCGGTGCCGCAAGCTTTCGATTGATCGATGACGATGAAAAAGGAGAGTAAGCAAAAGAAAATCACATACTAAAAATCTAAGACGATTGAACGGCGAGATAGGAGTTTGTGGTGGTTTAAAGTTTTGGGCTTTAGGATTTGATTTAGGGTTATTGAGGCGTTTTTAGGAAAAACTAAGTTCAAATCAGGGAAAAAGAGATCGAGTAGTATTTAGGGGTATATTTTGGTGGCGAAAAGGTTGGTCGACAGTGGCACCAATGACGAGGTGTGGCGGCGGCGGTGATTTTTCGTCAGAAACTAAGTTTGTGGGGGTGGCTCTGGTTTTTTGAAAGAAGATGAATTTTTTTAGAAAAGAAGGATGAAATAAAGTTAAAAAAAAAAGGTTGATATTTATAGTGTGAAAAAAACCCTGCCATGTTGGATTTTTTTTCACGTCAGGTGTCATTTGTGCATTTAAAATCCACGTAGATTATCCGTAATGCCAATAACGAATTCAACCATTATTTAATAATTTTTTTGTCCAATTTGAGTTTAATTAATAAAATATTAAAGATGAAAGGCTTAATTGATTACAATTAAACATTAAAAGTTTAATTGATAAATGAAATTTTATTAAAGGATTTTTTTTGGCCTATAAGCCATGTTGTTGTTAATAATGAAGTGTATAAAATAAAACTTGAATTGTGGTGAAAATGAATCCTTTTGTAAATTCACCCCTTAAGAAAAAGACGACTCCTTATTGGCCCAAATGCTATGCCAAGAATACAAAGGAAAGATGTGTTTGGATAATATGCAACCCTTCTAACGCCAAAGATGATAGGTGGTGTTGTGAATTAACCTCCATTCTTGCGTTGTTAAAATTCTCCATGTAAGATTCAATACTTTTTTAGGTATATACTTAAGATTTGAAATTGATAGAAAAAGGTAATTACCACAATTCCAGAAGATTTATATTGCAAAAACCTAAAGTAGCAGTTTACCCATAAAAAAAAAAAAAAAAAAAAACCTCTATTTTTGTTTTTAAACTACAAAAGAAGGGTAAAATAAGGTAAGGTCATTACTGTCATTTAAGGTTTGCTGACAGCATTCATAATAAATAACCTTAAAAAAAATAAAATACTTACATGGAATTATTTCGAAGGAATTCATAAATTTTTTCACGAAATTTTGATGGTGGATATTTGATTTTTATATTTGATTTAAGGTAATTCGATTATAAAAAAAAATTACAAATTTTTAATAATACTCAAAGTCTCAAATTTTGAAATACACATCTTTCTGTAATATTTTAAGATTTTAGAGAGAAAAAATTATTTTATTTTAAAATTTGATCCAAATAAAAAATTATAAAATAATAGTTATCATTTAAAAAAGCATGTTTGGAAGTAATTAGAACTCAATTGTAGGTTTTTGTTGTTAAATTTTTTTTATATTATAATTAATGATGTTTGATATAAAAAAATACATTAAATAATCCATCATTTAAGGTATTTGGTTCTTCAAACACCTTAAATAATCTTTGCATCAATTATTTAATGTGTTTTCTCAATTAAAACGCTTTAATTGATAATTTAAAAGAATATTTTTATTTTTATAGATCGAAGTGTTATGATATGATCTATTTTCAGACACATTTATAAACAAACAATTATCAATTATGTCATTTGGTTCTTTAAAACCCCTTAAATGATCTTTATGTCAATTATTTAAAGCATTTTTTCGATTCAAACTTCTTAAAAGACTTGAAAAAAAAAAAAAGAAAAGACTTTAGCATGACTCCGTGCATTTCCGTCTTGAATTGCAAATTTGCAACCTGATCAATTGTGAGTGGTTTAGTTCATCTTTCATCTCAAAATGAGAAACAGCTCACTTGCAAGGTTGCTTTTGCATAAGACAAGTAGAACCTTTCATGGCATTGCCAAAAGAAGGGATCCACAACGCTTAAATTTAGGGAACCCAGTGAAGTTTCCAAGTGGAAAGCTTGAAGGAGTTGGAAGTTAAACTTTCCAAAGACAGACAAAATGCCTGCATATACAGGGTCCCAGTAAACATACCTGAGGTGCAACCCAACGCCTATACTCCCAATATCATCCCAATTGGTTTTTACCATCATGGAGAGGGAAGATTACAAGAAATGGAAGAGCTGAAATGGGAATTCTTTCATCGTCTGTTTGTCTAGAACGGCCTAATGGGATCAAATTAGACCCAGTGATGAAAGCCATGGAAGATCTGGAGTAGGATGCTTGTAGATGCTACTAGGATAAAGCTGAACAACACAAGGATAAATTTGTTAGAATGATGCTCTTTGATGGCTACTTCATTGTTGAGCTCTTCAGAAACTTAAAACGGAACAACTTTTACCATGCCCGATCTGTTAAAAGGTGGATGCTGCTAACTCTTCGCCAAGATTTGATTATGCTTGAAAACTAGCTTCCTCTATTTGTTTTACAGAAATTGTTCGAGTTGACCAGAAGATCAAACGATCAACCACATCTTTGGAAAACCTTGCCCTTTGCTTTTTCATTCCTCTACTGCAGAGGGAGTGAAACTTAGATGTGTGGAGCGTAAATACACAAGGATTTGAGAAAAGGCAGCACTTTATCGACCTTTTCAGGCTCAGCATCCTCCGAGAGTTTGTTGTGAAAGAGATTATGATAATTATATATAAAATAATATGCATAAATTTTATCAATCAAATAAATGAATTTAAATATAAAATATTATGAAAATAAATTTTTTTTTAAATATCATATTTTTTTTAAAATTACTTTTTATTTTTTAAAATTTAAAAATTTGTGAATCAAATACTTAAAAAAAAAAAAAAAAAACAAAGACCAAGAAGAATCTGTCCCATATTTTACCACTTAAAACTCATTTAAAGAAAAAGGGTTCTCATTGAGAGGCTTGCAAAGCACACAACTCGACCGTTTTCTTCTTAAGTAGCCTTTGCTATTCTCATTTCTCATTCAGCTGGAGAGTGCAGAGTCCTCAAAGCTTCGAAGTATCTGTATTATGTTTGTACGAATCAAAACCCAAAACAAGAGTGAAAGAGAGTAAAAGAAAGAAAGCCATGTTTCTTTCAAAGTGCCTTGTTTACAAGAAAGGGCCTTTAGGCGCCATATGGGTAGCTGCTTATTTGTTCAAAAAGCTCAAGACAGAGCAAATCTATGAGACTAATATCTCCTCTTCTGTTGGTTAGTCTTCCTTTTTCTTCTCCTTTCCAAATACCCAATTTTCTTTTCCTTTTATCTTTGCTTCTTCTGTCAAAAAATGAAACTTAAAAAAAAAAAAAAGCTGACACCGTAAAAGGATCACATTTTCCAGTCCCATTTTAGTTACTATTTTTTTTTTTTAGTTTTGTCATTTTATTTTTGGTTATATATGAAGTAAATGGAAAGTTAATATTGTTTTTTGTTCGTTTTCATGTATTTTTTTTATTCAGATGAAAAACATACAAATGAATTGTCCAAGAAGAAAAGATTTTAGGTGATGTATGGGAATTGTAGATAAATTACTGTAAAGGGTGTTTTTATTTTCTTTTTTTCCCCTCCCATGTGTGTAGTGGCCTCCACAATCCCTAAGATAACCTTAAGCCCTTGTAGTTGTTGCTGATTTGTTTTTCTTTTTATATTTTTCCTTTAATGTTCTGTTTCTCGTTTGAAATTACATTTTATTGTGACCTAGTTTCTGGGTGCTTCATTTCAATCCTATGGATTTTTTTAAAAAATTTTTTACGCCTGTCTATAAGTTAAGGGATTTTGCTTCAAGTTGAAAGGAAAACAAGCTATTGGGTATTATATGTTGTTAATAGAAATTAGGTAATTTGTGCATTTGAATTTTTTACAATTTGCTAAATTCCTGTAATATAAATTTTTATTTAGCAATTTAATTGAGTTTTTTCTCAGTTAAGATGTTCTGTCAAGATTTTATTTCGTTTGGTATATACAAGAATAAGCCAAAAATGGAAGCTGTTCTCATTTTTGTTGAGAAAAAATTTCTAATTTTGTTGTGTTCATTTTTTTTAATGCAGATAATATTTTGCAAGACCAGCTCGAGATTCTCGCTTATAGAGTATTAGCCTACCTTCTTCTTGGTATTGTCAGAATATACTCCAAAAAGGTTGAATATCTTTTTGATGACTGTGAAGAGGTGTTGATTAAGATAAATGAATTTGTGGTTAGAGAAAAAAATAGAGCAAAGAAGAAGGCCCTCCGTTCAACTTGTTTCCCTATTATTCGACCCGTGAGCTTTGACTTAGATGCTTTTGATTTGGAGATTCTTGAAGGTACTAGTGGGTAAGCTAATCTAGTACCTAGTGTAGTTACAAACTTCATGTTATTTTTATTTCTTGTAATCATGCCTAGTATTATGGTTGTTCCTCTTTCCAGAGACAATGTGATGCCTCGTGAAGAGATAACCCTTAAAGGTATTAGTTTTGCTTCAATTTTTTTTATACCTCATTATATTTGTTCTTTGTTTGTTGACTCAGCATTGATGAAACAGATGTAGCTTGGAAAAATTGTGAAATAAGGCAGTCTTCTCTGGACAGGGTATGTGTCCTCTGGTCATATTATGTAACTGGTGATTTGATCAAAATCTATTGGGTTTAACATGTTTATATTAGTCTTTCAGGGTAGAACCTTTTCTAAGATCCTTCTTTATATCTCGACTCTCTTTTAATTTGTCATAAGATCCTTCTATTTTTTTTTAATTCATGCCAATATGTTGACTTTTATTCCAATATATTCTTCTTGGTTACTGAAACTGTGGTTTGTTCCAATTCTCTTCTGCAAAGCTTGTAGTTAGCTTTTAGTTTTTTAATTAGGGTTGAAGTCATCAATGATAAAATGTAAGTCCCAAGGCCGATATTTTAGACCATTATCTCTACTACATGGAATTGTTTATGTTGAGTCCTTTCTACCATGGGATAGATCAATGATAAAACTATAATTTAGATGTACAAGGGAAATAATGTTCAGAGTTTGTAATTAAAAAACTTATAAGTTTTCTACTATTTCATTAAAACCTCATTCAGCTATTATTGCAATGAAGGGACTTACGGTAGTCATTGCAATAAACCAAGGATAGATTAAAAGTTGGATTTTATTGGCTTTCAGGTCAGTTTTTTCTGTTTTTTAGGCCTTGGGGGTCGATTTTTCACTATGGAAGGTTGTCAACATGGAACATGTGTGACCTATATATAAAATATAGATACCTGAATTGTTTTCAAAGATTGTCAGATTACCAATAGTGGTTTTTCATGCTAAGATTTTAATGTTGATTTTGGCACTTAGTCAAAAAATCCTATTTGCTCAAGTCGACTCTTTCATTCCTAGTAGTTTGCAGCCTTGGATGATGATTTCTTGATGGATTATTCTCCAACTGAAGAGTATGCACACAAATCTAAATGGTTAGGTTCTCAGAAATTCTTTGAGAAATTCTATATTTTAACAAATATTCTTTTTTGTTCTTTCTGAAAGAAGTTCAAACGTTTGAAAAAATTCTTTTAATCATTTTCTTTTGCAGCTGTCTTTCATGCCATCTGATCGACTTTGAGACAGAAGCAAGCGTTTTGCATGATGTATGCAACTTGGAAGCAAGTATTGAAAAGCTTCGATGTGATAAATCCTTTTATGAAGAGGTCTTGCACCTCAAAACAATTAGTGGCTTTGAGGAGGAACCTGCAAACCTTGTTAAAGTTTTTGATAAAAATGGCAGAGAGCATGTAGAGCTTCCGGACATGGCAAGTTTGGAGAACTGTATGGACCGACAAGTGGACAGGGAGAAATACAATGACACATTCTCATCAGCAGAATGTCTAAACCTTTGTAGTGAGGCTGAGGAGGATCCTCTAGGTCTTCTCAAGCCTCTTGCTGAAGATCAAACTAATAGGAAAATGATGAGTGGTCCTGATCTATCTGCACCAGAAATGAAATGCACCAGGCTATGGAGGAAGATCATGTAAGCATTGTGGAAACTAGTGCAGAGGTTCCAGATATTGCAGGCTCAGAAAACCATATAGAAAGAGAAGCAAGCAGGGAGAAATGCAATGATAGGTTCCCTTCAGAAGAAGGGGTGAACCGTCCTAGTGAGGCTGAGGAGGGACCTCTAAGTCCTGTTGAATCACTTGGTGAAGATCAAGCTAGTAGAGCAAAGATGAAGGGTCCAGATCTGCCGCAATCAGAAAATGAACTGCACCAGGTTATGGAGGAAGATCATGTAAACATCCTGGAAGCAAGTGCAGAGGTTCCGGATATTGCAGGCTCAGATGTAGGAAGAGAAGCGAGCAGGGAGAATTATAATGATAAATTCTATCAAGAAGAATATTGGAATCTTATTGCTGAGGTTGAGGAGAAATCTCCAGGTCTGATCAAACCTTTTGGTGATGAACAAACTAACAAAGAGAAGATGAAGGGTCTGGATAGGGTGCATTTAGAAAATGAAGTGCACCATGTTATGGAGGAGGATTGCAACTTGGAAGCAAGATTAGAGAAGCTTGAAGCTGAAGGATTCTCTTACATGGACTTTGTGGAACCTTCCCCACTTGTTAGACCACTTGTTGAAGAGATTCAAAGTGGTGCAGAGCTGGTGAATTTTCCAGCTCTTACAATTTCAAATGGTGGAAAGTGTCAGGTTGCTGCAAAAGACCATCAATTGTCAGTTACATTGGATGCAACTCCACAGCCCATGTTGCAAGATGCATCAGGTATAAAAACATTAAGATGTTATCTCTTCTAGCCCCTTGAGTATATATATCCTCTCAAATTTTGGTTTAATGAGTTGGAGAGTTAATGGGATTCTTTTTTAAAAATGACAATTACAATCTTTTTCTTTGTTGCTCTGACCCTTCATTTTCGATGAAGTATCCATGTCTGACACATATCCAACGAACATGGTATGTAGTTATGCCCTCCGTATATAAGGAAAATATTAGAAAGAAATTTGAATATAGTGTGGCCTACACTTGCCCCTGAGTCTAAGTAACATAGATCTTTTCACTCTATGCTTTGTAGAATTTAATTGAAACTTTCTTTTAAGTCATAATTTGTGTTTAATGCAGGAGCTACTACTCCACATTTTATGCTTATCCCAACGCCTGCTGCTAAGGAGTGTGTTCGGTTTTCTAGGAAAAGAAAATGTTTCTTTGATTACATGATAGTTTTCCCTAATGGGTAAGCTATGGTTACCTCAAATATTTTTCTGTTGTATATTCACTTCAAGTAGTTTAAGATTATTAATCTACATTATCTGTGGGCTTGACATTGTTGTGTAACATTGTACATGGTGCGGGGCGTGATTATTACATATAACAGTAATTGTATTGTTGCATTACGAAATTTTCATGGACTTTATTTTGTGATGTAATTGGAAATAAAATGTGCTGTAATGAGCTGTGCTAAGTATTAAATTGTCGATAATTAGTTTGATCTTAAATCACTAGATACTGTAATTCGATGTGGTTTCCCTATGAGATGCGCATTTTACTGCTGCAATATGAGCAAGGCCAAAATGGAATTCTACGTTGAACCCTAGTTTGCGTTTGACTAGGGTAAACCTTAGTTTAGTTTTCACTTGGTTCTCATGCAGTCCACTATAGTTGATGCAGCTATTGCTTAGAATAATCTAATTTCTATTTGCATATGCTTTTTTTGGATTGCAATATGGCCAGCATATTGTCTTTTCACAATTGATTTTATAGTTGTGGCTCCCTTCTATGGGAAACAATACAGATATTGGTTGTTGGCAAAAAAAGGTAAGGGATGGAAATAACTGAAGTGGACAGCTGATAACTTTAGAATTCATTGGATTTCATGTTCAATGTTTGCAGCATAATGAGGCAATGGATAAAAGATGCAAGTGATTTGGTGTCTAAGCGGGGAAAAGGTGGTTGTATTGCACTGGCTGCAAGGAAGGCTCCTTGGATTTCCAGCCTTCCCCAGAGTTTCTTAGAGCCTTCAGTTCCATGTAATTGCACTATCATATTTCTACATGGCCTTTCTCTTGTTATGCCGCTTCATTTACCATATTCTTTGCAGGCACTTGGGAGCTTAAATCTCTCTACTGTGGAAAGAGATTGAGACTTCTGGAATCTGTTAAAATCATGAAACCTCCAGAAAAGATAGACAATTCAGAATCTCCTGCTGTTGGTGGATCCTTTGAGCAAGCTGAAATTGCTCCAGACACTATTGAAATCATGGATCCTCCAGATAAGTTAAACCTCTCAGAATGTCCTCTGTTTGATGGATCCTCGGAACAGGCAGGAATTGCTCCACAAACACCTGTTTGGTTGTCACCTTCTCTTGTTGTGGGAGAACAAACAGAAATTGCTCCACAAACACCTGTTCTGCACTCAAAAACAGTGAGACCATTTGAAAGCCCTGAGAACCACAAATTTGATAACTTAGATGAAATAGGACCAGCGAATGTAGATCGTAGTCAACGTAAAGAGAAAGAGCCTTCCCCGAGCAAAGATGAAGACCTTGATCTCAATCTGGGGAGTGAGGTGAAATTATGATTCCAGATAGCTGCCTTCTGTGATAGACAATAAGCATCTGGCGGAGCTTGTATATTGATGCGAGTTACATAACATTGGCATTAGTTTACAAATTGAACCACACATTGCACCAACTTATTATGTTCTTATAATTTGACATGCAACATCTGTCAAAGTATATTTTAAATGATCTAAGCATGATAAGGTTTGACTTTGGAACCCAAACCAAAATAGTTTTTAGGATGACACTGGTGTCTCACAGTGCTGACCTTTTCATTTTAGTTGTTTGTTGTCTTCCCTCTTCAAAACATCATATAATAGTTATTTACTTGTTTAATATTTTGGTCAGGAGATACAATCAAATGAAGATGATAACCAGGGACAGGGTAAGAGCTATTCAAATTGTTCTTTTAGCGTCAGTGGGTTCATTTTAGATTGCATGTTTCTGTTACATATGGTATTCTTACCTGAACTTTGTCTTGACTTGCAGATGGATGGTCAACAAGAACCAGGTAAGATAACTGCAGCCTTTACCACGGTTCTCTTGACTTGAACAGTTAATGTCAATCCCTTATGATTGCTTGCAAAGCTTGCTTCCTAATTAGTTAAACCTTTGATGAACAGAGTGGTGGCAAAGAAATTGCAGAGAAGTTTTCTAGATCAAAGGAAAAGAGGGGAGGAGGAAAAGGTGAAGTTATCACAGCTTTTGAAAGGAAGAACGAAGAAAACAATTGCGAGGCTCTTTTATGAGATCTGGTATGCTGCAGTGCCCAACACTGCGAATCAATTTATTCAGCAATGGTCATTTTGCTCAAGCTGGGTGCACTGACTTGACTGGCTAATGCCATACAAGTATGGCTTGTTATGATGAGATCTACCCAACTTGGATTGGTCACAAGTTCAAAACCTTTTACACCCTATGAACTTGGAATCTTCAAACTGACAGCCAAATAGGTACATTTGATGTGAAAAATTAACAATGGTGTGCATTGTGCAAATTTGCAGGTGTTGAAAACTGAAGGACTTGTGGATGTGAAGCAAGAAACTGCTTTTGGCGACATTCTTGTCCTGAAAGCTCCTCAGTGGGACCACACTTACAGAACTGATGGAAAGTAAAACCGCTGGAGGATCTCTTTGCTAATGCAAGGAATAGAGTTAGTCTTTTGATCCAAACCCATGTGAAATGAGTTATATAGGAGGTAGTCCCTCTGTAAATTTAAGCGATTTTAGCTGATTTAGGAATTAAGTTGTTCTTATTAGAAGAATGCAAGGAAAATAGGATGTAAATACTTTTCTTATTCAGATAGGATCTTACATTGAGAGCATATCTGTAGTGATTTGAAAAACTTAACCCGAAATTTCTGCGCACGCCAACGTTTTCTAGTCTGATGATTCAATGGCGTGTTGTTCAACAATATGACTTGACTATCCTGGAACGCGTGAGATGGTGAGGAAATTATTGGTTACATTGAAAAAAAAAGAAATGAGCGAACTGTATACTCATAAAATAAAATGACATTATAAAAATAAAAAATAAAATGAAATGTTTATGTCATGCATGATGCATGCAGGCAGCATGCTTCTTAGAGAATTCTTCTTTTCACTTGGGAGGGGTTTGAAGATGAAGATGTTTCTTGCTATGATTCCTCATGTCTTCAACTTAAAACCTAAAAGAAGACATTCAGATTTTGTTCTAACCAACTTTTTTTTCTCCCTCTACTATTTAAGCGAAAATCGAGAAAAGAAAAACAGACAACTAAAACTTTTCTTTTTAATCTTTGGTCATTGCCTTATATTATTGAGATACATAGAATTGTCAGTAGTTTTTTTATGTGTAATTGAAGGTTTACAATTTGCAGAAGCTGGAATGAATATTTTAAGAGGTTTTTGGAACAGCCCTATTGTAATACCCGTAAAAAATAAAAAAATAATAATAAAAAAAGACTATTTTAAATATTTTTATAAGTGAGGGACTCTTTAATAAAGAATGAAAAATACAGAGGATTTATTGATAAATAATCTAATTTTTATTAATAGGGTTAACTTTTCAGTTTTCAATTGACGATTAATCGAAAGAAAAATAGAAACTTATTTCTCATCCGTTTCTTATACAGAAAGGATCAATTGAAGGATTCCAAGTGAATGGAAAGAATAAATCTACAAGGAGAAATTGTCTGTTAGAGGTGAGTAAATAATTTCTTTCAATTTTGAAATATTGATGGTTAAGTTTTACGGTATAATTTGTAATCGAGAATCCCTAAAATTTTAGGGTTTCCATTATCCATCTTTGGGTAGATGATTTAGACCTTAATTAGGGTCAAATTAAGTGTTGAAAAAGTTGGTAATGTGAATTTATTGCTGAAACAAAAATTTGATGGGAATAGAAAGGAAAATCTTTGTTTCGTATAAATCCTGATATGAATCTTGTGTTTGTAGTGATGAATTAAGGTTATATTTTGTATTAAAGGGTTAAATACTATTACGATTATTATATATGGTTGGAAAGTATGTTGAATCTACTTTCTAATGAAACAAACGAGAGTTGAATTCGAGTTTTCTATGAAGAGTTATCCAAATTTTACCTAAGGATGTGCAGGCTGCCTAGTAGCAGCAATAAGGAGGAATTACGAAATTTTCTTTAATTTTTATACAAGGATTTATAGATTAATCCATATATGTTTGGAAAGCTTATTGAGTCTACTTTCAAATGAAATAAGCGGAATTGAATTTGGAGTTACCTATGAATAAATACGTAATTTTTATGAAAAGGTATACAGGCTGTCTGGCAGCAGCAGCATATGACGTGGATTACAAAAATTGTTATAATTAATCCACAAGGAATCATGAGATGGACCATATATGGTTAGAAAGCTTGTCAAGTCTAATTTCTAACGCATTAAAAAGATTTTAATTCTGAATTGGATATCTTGAGTGATGGTCGTTTTAGTGAAAGTAGCGCAAACTGTTAGAATTAATTACTCAAGTTATTACTTGTTTAACTTAATTGTTTTGGTATAAGTGGCCTCAAATGGGTTGATTAATTATTGTTATGTTGGAATTATCTTGAATAGGCCATTAAATTTTGAGGAGAAAAATTAGGTGGTGAAATCAAAAGAAGGTAAGTAGAATCTCACACACTTTGCTTATTTTCGAATCTATGTATATATATATATATATATTCTAAATGAAAGAATGTTTTATTTCTTTATTTTCGATGTATGAAAATAGGATCAAGCATATGATTATTTTGTGTTTCTCTATATAAATGATGGATCATGCTTATGAATGAAATGAGAAAATGATTTATGATTAAAGAATGATTTTGTGATGGCTGCGTTTTTACATCCATGGGAAATGGGATCATCGACACCAGAACTAGTTCTACGACCCTAGCTAACGGGTAATAGTAGTTAGCAAAGACATGATCATACGACCTTGCTAATGGGTGATAGTAGTTAACGTAAGGCCTTGGCTAACGGGTTATAATAGTTAGCAATGATCATGAGGATGAAATTGTCAATACGGCCAATGTCACAGATTATAGCAGTGACCGTAGCTAACGATAAACGAATGCTAATGATGATTTGTGATGAATGATTTTTATAGTTTGATCAATGATTTGGTGACATGTTTTGATTCTGATTTTTGATCTATGAATGTTTAATAGAATGCTGATTTTTGAATTATTTTTGACATTATGATTTGACGAATGTTTTGAATGATCTATATGACATGTATGAAACGATGTTTGATCCGGTAAGATATGTGAGCCTTTACTTACTGAGTTGTGGTTTGCTCATTTTTTATTTTCTTTTCTTTTACAGATGTTATGAATGATAAGTATGATTAGTTTGAGAAAAGCTAGAAGAATCGAGCATTGAGAACTACTTAGAAATATAGGATTTTATGAAGTATTGTTTCTTTTAGTTGTAATACTCGACTTTGAACCTAAGGAGATGTGTTATTTAGTTATTTTGTTCAATGAGAACCTTATAATATTTAAGAGTTGTTCAATGGTTAAGGATTAAGCTTCGTATTGCTTTAGGGTTTTACTTCAAAGTAATATGGTTATGTTATGTCTCGATTCGGGGTATGACATAAAGTGGTATCAAAGCGAAAGTTTAAGATTCAAGAAAAGAAAGAATTGAGTTATAGTTAGTGTAGAACTTAAGTATTCTTAGCATTTACATTGATAAGATTCGATTATTTTATTTTGATTGCTTATGAACTATTTTGTTGGTATTAAATTAGGTAAGAATGAGTGGTAAAAATGAGACATTGACAGATCTTGTGGGTCGAAGGAAAAGAACTGACAGGAGAAAGGATGAATCTGAAGCCACCAATGTTTGAGATGAGCAAATTGATATTAAAAATGCTCTTAATGCTCCGGTGATGCGGGATGATTTAGTTAGAGTGTGTCAGGTGGTGTCTAATTTGATACAACAACAGCAGCAGACACAAGAGAATCTACAACAATGTGAGACAACTTATGAACAATTTCAAAAAGTCAACCCACCTCAGTTTGAAGGTGGCCCTGATCTTTTGGTTGCAGAAGCTTGGGTTAAAGAGTTAGAAAAACTCTTTAAGGCAATGCGTATCTTTGAAGATTTGAAATTGAGCTTGGCTGTCATTCAACTAAGAGAAAATACTGAGTATGGTAGGATACCATAAATCCCAAATTTGAAAATTCAAGTGAGCCTCTGGCTTGGAAAAAGTTTAAAGAGATTTTATTTTATCAATATTTTCTAGAATTAATGAAAGTAGAAAAGGAGAATGAGTTTCTGCAATTATAGCAAAAGCATGATATGTCTGTGCTGGAGTATGCCAACAAGTTTAATGAGTTGGGACGTTTTTGTACTCGTATCATTGACACAGATAAGAATAAGGTAATACGATTCGAGCATGGGTTAAAGCCAAATATTCGGTCTCGTTTATCTTTCACATAATTGATAGTTATAAAGATGTGTTCAGTGAGCACTGAAGATTGAGTCAGACATGAAAAGATATGAGCAAGAGAGGGGTGATAAGAAACGCTCGAGGTTTGAGGGAGATCAGAGTAATTGTCAAAAGAATGTCAGAAGAAACATAGGTAAGAAGTGAGGGATAAAATCTGGTATTAAGCTCGAGAAATGTCATTTTTGTGAGCGATTTCATTCTGGATCATGTTTTAGAAAAGCAAGAATTTGCTTTGAATGTGAAAAATATGGGCATATTGCTCGAAATTAACTAAACAAGAAGAATGATTCTGTTAAAGCTAAACCGATGGAACAACCACAAAAAGAAAATGCTCGAGTTTTCACTTTGACTCGCCAAGATGCTAATGCAAATGATAATGTAGTGACAGGTACTGTTCCTATTAATCATGTCCATGCTAATGTTCTGTTTGATTTCGGTGCCTCTCATAGCTTTGTCTTTGTCAAGTTTGCTGCATCTTTGAGCATTAAACTTGAAAAGTTAAATGAGCCTTTATATGTTGCTACTCTTATGAGAAAAATTGTATGTGCTGATATTATTTATAAGAATTGTGTTGTACATATAGAGGGTTATGAACTACTGGCGAACTTGGTGCAATTGAAGATGTTAGAATTTGATATGATTTTAGGGATGAATTGGTTATTTGTACATCATACAGTTATTGATTGTTACAGAAAGAGAGTAGTGTTTCAATGTCCAGGACAATCAGAACTTGTATATGAAGGTCATTATTTAAGCCTTTCATGTCGGATTGTGTCGATCTCAAGTGCCATGCAATCTCTAAAGAAAGGGTGTCTAGGCTACCTCACCTATGTGAATGACACTCAAATGAATGTAGGCTCACGATTAGAAGATATTTCGATTGTTAGAGATTTTTTCGATGTCTTTCCTGAGGACTTGCCTGGCTTACCTTCTAACCGAAAAATTGAATTTGAAATTGATCTTATCCCTAGAACTAGATAAATATCTAAGCCTCCTTATCGCATGGCTCCATCTGAGTTACGTGAATTAAAGGTGTAACTCCAAGAACTGTTAGAGAAAAAGTTCATTCGTCCTAGTGTGTCACCTTGGGGAGCTCTTGTATTGTTTGTTAAAAAGAAAGATGGGAGTCTGCACTTATGCATTGATTATAGGGAGTTAAATAAAGTGACTGTGAAGAACAAATATCCTCTTCCTCGAATTGATGACTTGTTTGATCAGTTACAAGGAGCAAAGGTCTTTTCAAAGATTGATTTATAGTTTGGATATCATTAGTTAAAGATTAAGGTATGTGATGTATCCAAGACTGCTTTTCGAACTAGGTATGGCCATTATGAATTTTTGGTTATGCCTTTTGGATTAACAATGCACCTACTGCATTCATGGACTTGATGAATAGAATTTTTAAGCAATATCTGGATCAATTTGTTATTGTTTTTATTGTTGACATTTTGGTTTATTCTAAGAGTGATGGGAAACATGAGAAATATTTGAGGATTGTATTACAGATCTTACGGGATAAACAACTCTTCGCAAAGTTTAGCAAATGTGAATTTTGGTTGACCAGTGTTAGTTTTCTTGGTCATGTTATTTCTGAAGATGAGATTTCAATTGATCCGAAAAAGATTGAGGCAGCGATGAATTGGCCTCGTCCGACAAATGTGACAGAAGTAAGAAGTTTTATACGCTTGGTAGGTTATTATAGAAGATTTGTTAAGGGGTTTTCTCAAATTGCTGTGCCATTGACTCGTTTAACTCAAAAGCGAGCAAAATCTGAATGGACTAAAGAATCTGAACAGAGTTTTTAAGAGCTAAAGCAACGATTGGTATCAGCACCTATCCTTACCTTACCTTTTGATATTGGTAGTTTTACTATTTATAGTGATGCTTTCAAGAAGGGGTTGGGTTGTATGTTAATGCAGAATGATAGGGTAATTGCTTATGCTTCTAGGCAATTAAAAACCTACGAGCAGAATTATCCGACTCATGACTTACAGTTAGCTGCCATTGTGTTTACTTTGAAAATATAGAGACATTATTTGTATAGGGAGCCTTGTGCAATTTATACGGACTATAAGAGTTTAAAGTATCTGTTCATGCAGAAAGAGTAGAACATGAGATAGAGAAGATGGTTGGAATTAATCAAAGATTATGATTTGACCATCAATTATCATCCGGGCAAAGCCAATGTAGTTACTGATGCTCTTAGTAGAAAGTCCATTGAAAATATGGCTACTTTGCTTACTTTGCAACCAAAATTGTAGGAGGAACTTGATATGCAGCAAATCGAGGTGATTATACAGGGAAAATGTGTTGTTATGGCTAGTTTGGTGGTTCAACCAATTTTGATTGAAAAGATAAAATTTACACAAAAAGAAGATAGTGAGTTAGATAGAATTAAGACAGAAGTGCATAATGGTTTGGGCCAGAGTTTAATCTTCACGAGGATGGCACATTATGTTTTAGAAATAGATTATGTGTACCAAATGATCTTGATCTAAAACAAGAGATCTTGGAGGAAGCACATGGGTATTCACTATACATCCTGGAGGCACTAAGATGTATAAAGATTTGAAAGGAAGTTTTGGGTGGAATAATATGAAACGTGACATAGCTTAGTTTGTGTCTAGTGTGTCAGCAAGTTAAGGCTGAACACCAAAGACCATCATGGTTGTTACAACCTTTAGAGATACCAGAATAGAAGTGAGAGCACATCTCTATGAATTTCGTGATGGGGTTGCCTAGGTCATCTAAAGGGAATAATGCAGTGTGGGTAACTGTTGATAGACTCACTAAATCAGCTCATTTTCTACCTATCAAGTCGACTACTCCACTTGATAAACTAGCACAATTGTACATGGATGAAATTATATGATTGCATGAAGTTTCAGTGAGTATTGTGTCAGATAAAGATTTTAGATTTGTCTCTAAGTTTTGGGTAAGCTTACAGCGAGCTATGGGGATAAATTTGAAATTGAGTACAGCCTTTCACCCTCAGACAGATGGACAAATAGAGAGAACAAATTAGATTTTAAAAGATATGCTTCGAGTATGTGTGATTAATCTAAAAGGTAGTTGGAATGATTACTTACCTTTAACGGAGTTTGCTTATAATAATAGTTACCGATCTAGCATTGGGATGGCTCCTTTTGAGGTCTTGTATGGTAGAAAGTGTAAATCCTCTTTATGTTGGGATGATGTTGGGGAAAGAAAACTCTTAGGGTCAGAAATGGTGCAACTGACTGTAGAAAAGATCAAGGTGATTAAGGAAAGACTTAAAGCAGCACAAGATTGTCAGAAGAGTTGGGCAGATAAAAAGAGAAGGGAGTTAGAATTTCAACAAGGGAATTTTATTTTTTTAAAGGTGTCACCCACAAAAGGTGTTATGCGGTTTGGGAAGTGAGAAAAGCTAAGCCTGCGTTATATAGGTCCATTTGAAATTCTTGATAAGGTGGGAGAAGTTGCATATAGGATAGCCTTGCCACCTTTGCTATCTTATGTGCACAATGTTTTTCATGTGTCCATGTTGAGAAAGTATGTCTCTAACCCAAGCCATGTGGTAGAGTATAAACCTTCAGAAGTTCAAAAAGATTTAACATACTTGGAATATCCTATTCGAATAATTGATCAAAAAGAGCAAGTCTTGAGGCACAAAACTATTCCATTTATAAAAGTTCAATGGAGCAATCATACACAAAGAGAAACAACTTGGAAAATAGAAGATGATATGAAGAAACAACATCTTTAGTTATTCGAAAATGAAGGTAAATCAAGTTTCGAGGATGAAACTTTTTATAAGTTTGGGAGAATGTAATACCCGTAAAAAAAAAGACTATTTTAAGTATTTTTATAAGTGGGGAGACTCTTTAATAAGGAATGAGAAGTGCAAAGGACTTATTTATAAATAACCCAATTTTTATTAATATGGTTAACTTTTCAGTTTTCAGTCGACGACTAATCAAAAGAAAAATAGAAACTTATTTCTCATCTATTTCTTATACAGAAAAGATCAATTGAAGGATTCCAAGTGAATGAAAAGAACAAATCTACAAGGAGAAATTGTCTGTTAGAGGTGAGTAAATAATCTCTTTCAATTTTGAAGTATTGATGGTTAAGTCTTAAAGTGTAATTTGTAATCGAGAAACCTTAAAATTTTAGGGTTTCCATTATCCCTCTTTGGGTAGATGATTTAGACCTTAATTAGGGTCAAATTAAGTGTTGAGAAAGTTGGTAATGTGAATTTATTGCTGAAAAAAAATTTGATGGGAATAGAAAGGAAAATCTTTGTTTCGTATAAATCCTGATATGAATCCTGTGTTTGTAGTGATGAATTAAGGTTATATTCTGTATTAAAAGGTTAAATACTACTGCGATTATTATATATGGTTGGAAAACATGTTGAATCTACTTTCTAATGAAACAAACGAGAGTTGAATTCGAGTTCTCTATGAAGAGTTATCCAATTTTTCCCTAAGGATGTACAGGCTGCCAAGTAGCAGCAGTAAGGAGGAATTATGAAATTTCCTTTAATTTTTATACAAGGATTTACAGATTAAGCCATATATGTTTGGAAAGCTTATTGAGTCTACTTTCCAATGAAATAAGCAGAATTGAATTTGGAGTTACCTATGAATAAATATGTAATTTTTATGAAAAGGTATACAGGCTGTCTGGCAGCAGCATATGACATGGATTTCAAAATTTTTATAATTAATCCACAAGGAATCAGAAGATGGGCCATATGTGGTTAGAAATCTTGTCAAGTCTATTTTCTAACGCATTAAAAAGATTTTAATTCCGAATTGGATATCTTGAGTTATGGTCATTTTAGTGAAAGTAGCGCAGACTGCCAGAATTAATTACTCGAGTTATTCCTTGTTTAACTTGATTGTTTTGGTATAAGTGACCTCAAATGGGTTGATTAATTATTGTTATGTTGGAATTATCTTGAATAGACCACTAAATTTTGAGGGAGAAAAATTAGGTGGTGAAATCAGAAGAAGGTAAGTAGAATCACACACTTTACTTGTTTTCGAATCTATGTATATATATGTTTCTAAATAAAAGAATGTTTTATTTCTTTATTTTCGATGTATGAAAATAGGATCAAGTATATGATTATTTTGTGTTTCTCTATATAAATAATGGATCATGGTTATGAATGAAATGAGAAAATGATTTATGATTAAAAAATGATTTTGTGATGGCTACGTTTTTACATCCCTGGGAAGTGGGATCATCGACACCAAAACTAGTTCTACAACCCTGCTAATGGGTAATAGTAGTTAGCGTAAGGCCTTGGCTAACGGGTTATAATAGTTAGCAATGATGATGAGGATGAAATTATCGATACGACCAATGTCACGGGTTATAGCAGTGACTGTAGCTAACGATAAACGAATGCTAATGATGATTTTTGTAGTTTGATCCATGATTTGGTGACATGTTTTGATTCTGATTTTTTATCTATGAATGCTTAATAGAATGCTAATTTTTGAATTATTTTTGATATTATGATTTAACGAATGTTTTGAATGATCTATATGATATGTATGAAACGATGTTTGATCCGGTAAAGTGTGTGAGCCTTTACTTACTGAGCTGTGGTTTGCTCATTCCCTATTTTTTTTTCTTTTACAGATGTTATGAATGATAAGTATGATTAGCTTGAGAAAAGCTAGAAGAATTGAGCATTGAGAACTGCTTAGAAATATAGGATTTTATGAAGTACTGTTTCTTTTAGTTGTAATACTAGACTTTGAACCTGAGGAGATGTGTTATTTCGTTATTTTGTTCAATGAGAACCTTATAATATTTAAGAGTTGTTCAATAGTTATGGATTAGGCGGCTTCGTATTGCTTTGGGGTTTTACTTCAAAGTAATATGACCATGTTATGTCTCGATTCGGGGCGTGACATAATTGTAACGCTTCCAATCTCACATCAGGATGATGTGTGGATAAGGAATGATATATATGTAGAGACTTAATCTCAACTTGTGAGGTACCTTTTGTGAGACAAAACCATGAGATCTTCGGGTCAAAGCGGACAATATCTCGTTGGTTGGGTGCGGGTCTCCACTAATGGTATTAGAGCGATCACTAGTCCGCAATCGTGGGAGTCACTAAGTGCTACACGATGGTCTGGTGTGATCTTGGTTTTCTAGATTGACTCGACTTGACAGGGACGTTAAGCATTAAAGGTGGAGAGATTGTAACACCCCTAATCCTACATCAGGATGATGTGTGGATAATGAATGGTATATATGTAGAGACTTAATCTCAACTTGTGAGGTACTTTTTGTGGGACAAAATCGTGAGACCTTCGAGTCAAAATAGACAATACCTCTTAGGTTGGGTGCGGGTCTCCACACCTATTGATCCCAAAACAACTCACTTTTGGGGGCCCGTTGCCAACTGGGGCATCCCTATTGCTGTATGCTTTCTAAACCCATGTCATTACTTGGAAATTTTAAGTCACTGTTTCTTTTATGACATCTCTATGCTATGTTTTTTTTTTTTTTTTTTGGTTACAGGCATTTTTAGACACAAAGAAACCACCAGAAATGATATCCGGCAACATTACTGCAGGTTTCTAAACATTGACTTCTAATTATTTCATTTTCTTCCTGCTCATGTTGGTTTACACGTAATGATGGATTCGTGAATTTTTTTTTATCTACTTATGTAACATATATATAATTATTAACGGATTTACCAATTCTATTAACGGGAAAAGGTGTGAGCTTTTAGGAATTTTTTTTTAATTTTTTTAATTTTTAAGGGTATCCATAAACACCTTAATTTTAAATGTAGGATCTGCCCTTGCTTATGTGTATATAGTATGTAGTTACACAGTAATGAAACCCTAATTGGATGTATATTTGCAGCTATGTGCGTTTATTCGTTGTTGTACATGAGGTTTGCATGGATGGTACAGCCTCGCAACGGTCTCCTCCTTGTATGTCATTCCTCGAATGAGACGGTGCAGCTTTATCAGCTCTCACGTTGGATGAAGACTCAAGGGTCGGTTCCTATTTGATTCTATTTTAGTTTTTGTTTTATTGTTTTTCATTTAAAAGTAATGATTTTATGGCCAAATTTAATTGCCTGACGGAGGGTTTAAGAATGAATTACATTAATTTAATTTGAGCCAAATGAGCAATTAACTGCAAAGCTATTTCCATCTAAAGAACCTCACACCATGAGAGTAAGTATCTATTAAATCTTAAATTTGGTAATTTTAAACATAAACGATATAAAAATATATGAAAAAAAATCTAAAAGATATGATATAAAATTTTAATAAAAATGATATATGAATTTGATAAAAAAATAAAAAAATATTTTATATTTAATGTGTTAATATGAAATATAATATAATAAATTTTATATTTTATACAAATTTAATACGAAATAAACAAACATAAAAACATAAATTATCAAATCTAATTAATTTTATGTAGCAGTTTAGTTTGCTATCTGCAGAGATTTGATCCAAGAAGCTAGAAAGGAAATGTTTCTAATCATGGGTTCTATACACGTAAAACAGGTATCCACAGAGGATGGAAGTTGAAGCCTGAAAGTGAAGCACAAAAATTCTTACATTACAGTTGATGATCCTTTGAGCTTTATCCTTATTATAGTGTATTTATTTTTTAATAAATTATAATTTAATTTAGTATAAATATATAAAAATCAAAGTCTTTGGTAAAAAGAAAAAATTTCAATGTAAATGGCTTATACTATTAACTTGTGGATGACCTTAAAAATCTCCATAGGTCCTTATTTTATTTTAATTATTTTTAAAAAATTAAATTAATTACATTTATTTTTTCTTATTATTTACCTTAAATCATTATCAATTAAATTCATATTAAAGGTAATAAAACTTTAATTGCCATCATCATCATAAAATAATTTTATATTCTCTTTTTTTAATTATAATATTCAACTCTTAAATTATATTTTATATAATCTTATATAAATATGTAAAAACTAAAACTTTTGGTAAAAATAGAAAATGTTCAATGTGAGTGGTTTATAATATTGACATATGGATAATCTTTATCAATAGCCATGTGCCCTATATTAAATATATTTATTTATATTTATTTTTTTAAAATTGATATGAATTGATTTGATTTCATAAAATTTTTTGTAAATCCCGAATTTTGTCCTAAAAGATCTAACATCGTTAAATCAAGTTTGTTTTACAAAATATCGAAATAAAGATTAAAATAGATGATTTTAAGATGACTTATTTTTTGATCCAATTAAATGACTAAGATAATCGTCAAATGAGGTTTAGAATTAAATTAAAAAAATTTTATAAAAAAAGAAAAAAGTGAAAAGCTAATTAAAGGACTCGTTTGCAACTTAAGAGAGGGCCTTATTACAGATCTGATTCACAACCCAATCGATAGCTCATTATAAAAGAGTATTTAGAAACACAAATAGGGCCCTTAATGCCATATTACAAAAAAAAATGGGCTCAAATGAGCCATTACAACCGGCATGGCCTTTACGAGAAAGGCTTGAAACAAAAAAAAGGAAAAATAAGATATGGAAAGACCCAAAAAGGGGCCATCCGGTTTGTTCACGAGAAGAAATACGTGCATAAATGCAAGTAAAGATTGAAATGAAAAGGCACTAGGCTGGGAAATTTTTGAAGCCCAAAAACGAAACTGGAACAAATGAAAGAGGAGATGATGCCATCTTGTTCCTTCACGTGAATGCATGGGCATACGTGTACGGATAGGACATCTAGCTAAAAAACATGCTGGTTCGCTATAGTGGAGGACAGAATGATGGCACCTGCAGCAGACAAAAATAACAAAGGTAGTGGCTGGCCAAGACAGTTGTAAGGAAGTGGGAAGGAAAAGAGTAGGAGAAACGGGGAAGCTTGGTGAAGAAGGTTGTGTTTCAAAATAAAAAGGGTAGAGCCTAGGTGAGGAGGAAGAGAGAAAACAACAAAAAAAAGGAGTGACTTTGTTGGCTGAAAAGAGAGGAGGTTTTGCTAAAGAAGAAAAACCGAGAACTTAAGGAAAGGTGTTTGTACATAAAGCGAGTTTCTTCTCCATTTTTGTTTTGGCTTTTTTTTTTTTTTCTTTTTTACGGGTAAGTCCAGTCACAAAGGTCTACAGATCAACCTTGTTTATGTTGTTCTTTCTTCTTCCTCTTATGGTGCATGTATGCTAAAGCTTAGGTTTCATCGTGGGCGTGCCTGCTTGTCAAAGGAAGCTGTACACTAATTTTCCGTATATATATATTTTTTTGCTTGGAGCTCCACTCAAGCTATTTTTCTGAGCAGTCTCGGATTGAGCATTCCAAGAGCTTCTCCATCTGTATTTCTATTATTTTTCCTTCATTTGTTCTTAGATTATCCTATTTCATTTATCTATTTCTTAGTTTATTTTAAAGTCAGTTTAGAAGGCAAATATGATAGTTTTAGGGTGAAAATGATGCCAAGAACCAAGCTACCCTGTTCTATAATGGCAGTAACGGTTTTGGCCTCTTATCAAGTTTATCTCCTTTGTTTCCTCTTTGAAGTTTTCCTTAGCTTTCCCGTGTTACATCTGCATACCTGTAGCTCAAATTTCGTGCATTGTGGGGATCAAATACACTTGAATAAGTGAGGACAAATGATATATTTATAGGTTGTGTACAGATTTTGTTAAGTTGACTTTTTGGATATCTTTTACCTAAGTTTGCTTATTTGGTTGCTTTTTTTTGGTTTAGTTCTACCTATTTGTGATTCTACATTCTCTTGATTTATAAATTGTTGTACGGTTTGAAGATAAAAGGAAAACCTAGCCGCACCTATCCATAGTGAATTTTCTTCTCTTTAACGTCTTAAAATTGCTACCCTATGGCAGTCACGGTTTTGAGAGTTTATTATATTTCCCTTGGTATTTTCCCTTCCTCAAGTGTCCTACTTTGGTAGTTAAATTTTCCCAAAATTTAAGAGCCAAAAACCTCATTTTTAAATCAAAATACATCCTTTCAACGTCAGTTTTCAAGTTTTCTTCTTTGCAGTCCTTATTTCTTTTCTTTTTTTCTTTTCAAGGTTGTTTGAGCTAGACAAGAGGGTATTTGGATGCTATTAGGTTGAGACATCACTTATAGGATCCCTTATTACGTGAATACGATTATTCTTTTTTTTCTTGCATTTATTTTCATGATATGTAGTGGCTGCCTTTAAATCCTGACTTGATGTTCTATTTTGTTTAAAAGTCCATGCTCTTTAGGTCCTTTTTTGTTGTTGTTTTTGTTACTTTAATTCCATGTTCTTTAAGTTCAAAGTCTCATTTAAATTTTCCTCTAACCTTCAAGTTCAATTGCATTAAATTTTATGATGTTTAGCTCTTGTAAGTATTCTAATTTTCTGCTCTTCAAAATTTTCTAGTTTTTTGGTTTTCCAAGTCTTTATGTTGATAAATGAAAGCTTCACGAAAGTATATGAGAACCCACTGACTTTACAAGATACGGCAAAAACAAAAAGGGTCCTCCAAATTCAGCTTTCGTCCCTTTCATTGCCTTGAAAGTTCACCTTTGGAGTCCATCTTCTTCTAGGTTTGAAGTTGTAAAAAGGGAGCTCCTTTTTTAAACAAACCAAACCGTGGGTCCAAGACTTGGAAGTTTTAAGAATTTTGCAAATTAATAATGAGGGATAGGCTTTAGATAGGTTGTGCGTTGTCAGTTTTTTTCTTCCCATCCCTTGTATTGTCTAATCCAAGGTAGTAATGAAAAAGTAGCATAGGTAAAGTAGAGGTTAAAAAAAATTATTTGATTTTATTTTTTACCCATTGACATGAGAAAACATCATAGTGTGTAGTGTGGGGGTAGAAAGTGTGTTTGTGTCATGCATACTTCATATAATACATGTTCATGTTTATTAATTTATTTCTTGTTTAATTAAAGTTAGAATCATGTACATTATAATCTCTTTGGTTTTTAAACATTTATGATAAATTTAATTTCATGAAATAAACTATTATTATTATTATGTTTTGTGCAATTTATCTTTTATTTGCATTTTAGCTTCACATCAAATAATAATGATAATTAATCATTAATAATGATGTTAATAATAATAGTAATGAAAATCTTCGAAAATGAGATTTTAAAGAAGTTCGAGTAATAATTCCTTAAAATCTCTAAATGAGAATATTTTTTTAAAAAATATTATCAAAGTAATGGAATATATAAAAAAAATTCAATACAAAAGATTTTCATTTATTTTCTAAAATTATATTAGATAATGATAAAATAATATATAATTACTTTTTTAGGAATGAAATTAATATAATAATGAGCGAATGTTATTAACTATTTTACTTTTCAAAAAATATATATTTATATATTAATCATTAATAATAATATAGATTAAAAAAGGTTTAGGATAGAAACCTAAATAAATAATTAAGAAAGGGAAAAGTAAATAAAATCTTCAAGGATGAGATTATGAGGAAGTTCGAGTAGAGGCTCATAAAAAATCTTTAGGTGAGAAAATTCTTCTAAAAATACCACCAAAGTATCAGGATATCTAAAAAGATTTTCAATAAAAAATTTTTCTTTACTTTGTCTCTTTTTAAAAATTATTAATAATTGTGAAATAATTAAGGAGATTAAAAAAAAATTAAAATGAGGAACGAAAAATATAATATAAAAAAGTAACATATATATTTTCGGGTGCATATTCTACTTTATCGTTTTACATTACATGATCTTAAGTGTAAATGAAATTTTCAATGATGGAACTTCGGGAAATCCGAGAATTCCTTAGGTGAGAAAAGTCTTCTAAATATTATCAAAGCATAGGAATATTTTAAATTTTTTTTTCAATACGAAAAATTTTCTTTTATTATTGTTTTCTTTAATTTGAGTAGTTTGTCTTAATAATATGAAAGTATGTAGATAATTACATTATTAGATGACTTTTAATAACTATTATAAAAGCAAATGAAAAGATCTTTGAGGTTAAGATCCAAAAAAAATCCAAGTTATGATTCTTTAAAAATGTCTAGGTAAAAAAATGATCTAAAATGCTGCTAATGTATTGAAGCATTTAGATTAATATTCGATAAAGATTTTTCATTTGTTTA